TTTTTTTAATTTCAGAATTTGGTGTTTACTCTGGCACATGCACTAATTGAGACAAGACATTACTTCCTTTTGGATACATTACCGGTTCCTTTATCTCCTTCCCTAGCTCATATATTAGAATTTCGTCCCATATTAAATACCTAGGTGTTCTGTTCTCTCAAGATCACGGCCTATCCCACACTTAATATTTCACCCCGGCTTGTTATATTTCGATCTCAATAGAGGCCATGGTGTAAACTTCCTCTTACGTCTGTTGGTCTGAGTAATCTAAAAATGATTTGGCTGCCTCAACTTTTATATTTATGACAACTCCCTGTTGGTTGCCTTATCCTTTTTTCATAAGGTCTGTGTTTAGGGACCTTATTTGGAAAAAGTCTCCCAATAATTCAATTGGAATATTTGCAGTATCCTAGAATTGGTGGTGGTCTTGCAGTTTCTAATGTGTTAATGAATCGGCTGCTCAGCTTCAACATGTAGCCGACACATGAAATCACCCTACGATGGTATTTGTAGTTTTACCACAGCTGGAGCGCCGAGGTTGCTTAGACCTAGCACCCAGATTTGAAGGCCACATTTACTTACAGGCACCCCAAGATTCTGCACATAAGCAAGTTAGTCTTCAATATTTTTTGCCAGGTCTGCGAGCTGGACAGATAAAGGCTGCTTACGTGTCTTCAGACGGTGTGATGGATCAGTCTGTTTTATTTCAAGTTAAAGTCCACTCAAAACCTTTCTAGGCTTTTGGTAAAGGGCTATAACCTCTGACAGGTTTATTACTAGGGAGAACAGTAAGGGAGTTGACTTCTGCCTGATAGGGAGTGTGTTAGAAACATGAACTTTTGCACTAATTGATGGAACATTTCCAACATGAACAGAAGCTAATAAGCGGTCTGGTGTTTCAAACGATCTACTTTATCCTAAGGTCCTATTTGATATTTTAATTTGTATGCTGGTAGCTGATACTGTGTTCTCTTTATTAGGTGTGCCTGGCTGCTGTTGGCCTTGTAGGAGACCTGTGCCGGGCCCTGCAAACAAACATCTTGCCATTCTGTGATGAAATTATGCAGCAGCTTCTAGAGAATCTGGGGGTAAGATTGCTCGTATGTCTGGATAAATGCAATACACTGAATTGCAAGCATAACTTATTTCATACTACGTCCACTTACGTTAGCTGACTCTTTTCCAGAATGAGAATGTTCACCGCTCTGTAAAACCTCAAATTCTATCTGTCTTCGGCGATATTGCTTTGGCTATTGGAGGGGAGTTTAAAAAGTACCTGGATGTTGTACTGAACACACTGCAGCAGGCTTCTCAGGCTCAGGTGGACAAGGTAAGTTTTTTTTTTGCTTTTAATCTTATTTTTTAGTAAAACTTATTTTTTAGCTTTGAAAGTATATACATTTCAAAGCTGTTAACTTTCTGCCAGAGTGTGCTCCAGAAGATGGTTACATGTATGTTTTATATAGCTTGTAGACCACCCAAGCTGGGAGTGCTCAAATATCCAATTTGTTCCACTCCTGCACCTTACTCTACTGTTCTTTGCTCTAGAAAGTGTGTGAACATGCATGCAAGCATGTTCAGGTAGGTGGCTTTGTGTATCTGCCAACCATTGTGCATCCTTTACAGCCACCGCATAATCTTCACCAGCTTCTGAAGCTGTGAATATATTCATTTGTAATCACCAGTATCAGCAGAAGTCTGCTCCATTGGCTAACTGAGTTGGTGTGTATGTTCCACAGTTTCCACAGCATAAGAGAAACCAAAAAAACGTTAGTGGTATGTTTTGTCCAGGTTTATTAAGCATGTTTTAATATTCTTATGGCTTTTTCACATCAGACAGATTATGACATGGTGGACTACCTTAATGAGCTGCGTGAGGGCTGTCTTGAGGCCTACACTGGAATCATCCAGGGACTCAAAGGAGATCAAGAGAATGTGCACCGTGAGTATGGCCAGAGGCATCTTGCACTCCTTATCTGCTTGTCTGTATGTGGTCTTTTAGAAGGTTTAGGAATCTTTTTTCAAAGAACCCTAGGTTGAAACATTTTCTTTAAATCAGGGCGCACGGAGTATAGGGGATACCTTTTCAGTCTCATCTGCTAAAACACACATGCTTCTATGGGTTAGTGGTTTATTAAGCAGTGAATCAACAATTAAATGAGCCCTGGCGCTCACTTTGAAAAACCAAGTTAAAAAGACCTTCAAGTAAAATGAGTTGTAAGTATGTTGAATCAGGTCTCCTTACCCTGTTTAAAATCGCTGTAGAATAGTGCAAAAAATTTACCTGTAAGAAAAGTTGCTTTCCTGACCTACATTGCACTCACTATAAATGCAGTGCACAATCTTCTCGTGAGATTTGGTATCTTCATCATTCCTGGGCTCTCGCTAGGAAAGTGACATTACTCTGACCTAGACAGGGTAAGATAAGTGTGTGTATAGCCAACTTTAAACCCCCCTCCTTTTTAAATGTGTACTTTTTTTGTCCTGACCGATTTTTTTCCATTTTAGATTTTAAATAACCAATTTTGTTGCATTTCTGTTTTATTCCCCTTTAGCTGATGTAATGCTTGTACAGCCACGTGTGGAGTTCATGCTGTCATTTATCGATCACATTGCCTCAGATGAAGATCACACTGATGGCGTTGTGGCCTGTGGCGCTGGCCTTGTTGGGTGAGTGAAATGATTAGCGCATTCTTGGCCTAGAAAATGGTGTTTATTTTGGCGTTCCTTGGAGGACGCATTGCTGAATATACTTGAAGTATTGAACTCTCAGGTTTTTGCTGGAGAAGGGAGAAATAATGAAGCGGGGGGGTAGGGAAGGGGCTTGTTGTGTTTGTGGAGACAGTCAGCCTACTAGCGCACACAAGGGTGCCGCCATAGGAACCTGTGAGGAAAAGGAGCCACCCTGAAACAGGCTATCTGGGCCAGTGCTCAAGGGACCAGCTGATTTCTGCAAGAAGCTAAAACATTTAAAATAAAGAGGCAACATCCATTTTTAGTGTATTTACTGGTTGCTTCTTTAATGCTCCCTGATGTACTCATTCCCTACCTTGAACTTACTTTGCAGACCTCTGCAAAAATGGTCCATCTGGTAGTAATCAAGGGATTGGTACTTCCATCTAATTTTTCTCCACGCAGATGCACTGTGGCAGCTTCCTCTTAGACTTGTCATACATTTTCAGGGACATCATGGCTATTGAAGCCCAGGTTTTAAGAGGTCTCACAGCAGCTGTGATTAACACTGTTTTTTGCAAGGCCAACTTCATGTGGTACAAGCAGCGAGATGAGTCTTTGGATTCACAGGGATTAGGGGGTACTCTGGCCTTGGCCAAGGTTAAATGTTTTCAATTAAATGTAATTTTTTGAGGGTGTAAGCTAGTAAACTATAATTTTGAACTTCTTCCACTTTTCTAATGCTTTACTTAAAACATTTTTTATACCTATAATATTGGTTGACAAGGGTTTTTAAGTGAGAACAAACTCGTCATTTTATATTTTAAAATAAACTCAATCATGAGAAGATACTTTAATAATAAATGTTTTATCATTTAATATAGGGGAAACTGTTTTTTTTTTTAAATTTCGGTAATTTTTCCTTTAATATAGTAAAAAAATAAAACCCCCAGTGGTGAATAAATACCACCAAAAGAAAGCTCTATCTGTCCCCAAAAAAGGGTATAAAATTCATTTCAGTACAGCGCTGCATGACGGAATAAATGTCAGTCAAAGTACCGCAGCGCTGAATACTGAAAAATGGCCTGGATGGGAAGGGGGTTTAACACCGCGGATGTCAACTGGTTAAGTACATGCACCCAGACATGCTTGCATATACCTGTAGAAATTAGTTTTCCCGTTTCAGATCTTCATTAGATCAAAATTGTGCGAAGAAAGGGGAATAAAAGTGTACCTGTTTCGATGCAAAGAAAGGAAGACTTGTGTAAGCTCCAATTCACTAAGCCGTCAAGTCTTTCACAGGGCTGAGGAGCTCCATGTGAGCACTGGGTCAATCATATGCTCCTCAATAGACGTTTGTGGTATTTTATTGGATGCTAGTGGTGAAGGAATCCTATGCTGCTGGAGATGGGAGCATTAAAGCAAACTGGTGGTTCCGCTTTAAAAACTGCTTGTTTTGCCCCAACAGAGATTTATGCACAGCATTTGGAAAGGACGTGGTGAAGTTGGTGGAAACTCGCCCTATGATCCATGAATTGCTAACAGAAGGTAGACGATCAAAGACGAACAAGACAAAAACACTTGCTACTTGGGCCACCAAGGAACTACGGAAGCTAAAAAATCAAGCCTGGTGGGTAGGATGATCTCGGTGATGTTTGATATATCAATGTTTGATACTCCTGTATAACCAGATTTTATTTTATTTATTTTCCCTTTTCAGACCATAGCGGCTGGTTGAAGCAGACAACCCACTGGAAATCTCCAACTTATTTGAAAAAAAAAAAAATCCCGGAAGTGAGAAGTGTGAGCGGTTACTGAATGTTTGAGTGAGAGAGAGAGTGAGTGAAGCTTCAAACATACCACATGGATAATGCGACCACAGCAGTGCTGTGAGAAGAGCAGACTTCCTGGGAGAAAGGGGGTGAGAGCTGTCACATTGCCCACCCACCAGCTGAGAGGAGCAAGGGCCTGTGGGTCTTCACTAATTCGATGTCTGCTTGCACTGCCTTGTGGCCAAGGCGGTGCAGGAGTGACTGGTGTAACTTTATTTTATAATTCATTGTTACATCTGGCCTTTTCCTTTTCCTTTTTTTTCTCTCCAATACCCCTTGCTGTATAAAGAGGAGCAGCAGTGGTCTGTTGCTGCATTGCCTATCTCCTTTAGTGCAGGGGGACCTGAGCGAAAGGATTCTCAGAGTGAGTGTGTGTGAGTGCAGAGGTTTAGCAGTGTCTACAATCTGAGCTTCATACAATTTATTCTGGTTCAGAAGAAAAGATGTTCAGTGTTCCACAAAAAGCTTCTGGTGTCATCGGAAGGAGTAATTTTCCAGGTGCACAAGGCAAAGTTTCTAGATTTCAACATTAAGGTCTGTTTCTCTAGGTTTATTTAAATATTTTTTTTAACTGTTTCTTTTCCAGAGGCATGCACAACACAGGTGTTTCTGGCAGGGAAGCAGTTAAGGGAAACACTGGCTAGGACATCTAGTCCCTTAGTAAGCAAGCTGAAGCCTATGGCGTAAATCTGCTTATGTTGATCTGTGAATCAGGCCGGGAGCAGGGAATTGTCAATAGTTGGATAATAGGTAATCATCCCACAGGTATTGTGCAAAATATTCCCATCTTTTTTTATCTAACATATTGTAATAATAAAGGGGAATAGTACTTAAGGGTGTTCATGTACCCTCTTTGCCCCAGGATTTAAAAGCAGCCCTGACCCTTAAATGTGCCAAAGAATTGAAAAAAAAAAAAAAAAAATGCTCAGAATGTGAATTGACCCCTCCTTGCAGCAAGGAGGTGCTGTGGTGCAACCCTACTACACATATTGTGTTCTCTCTGTGGCTTGTACCAAGCCCCTCTCTTGGCATTGAGAATGGTTTAATCGATATTTGAAGTACTTCTCACCTACATACATTGGAAACGGACATTTTGGTTCTTCAAGAGGCACCATTCTGAGTCATTGGAGGCTGAAGCCCTATAGGCTTAATAGTACCCAGCAGACAGTTTGGCTGCATTGTATTTGTGCAGCAAACAAAATGGCTGTACCGTAGTATATGGGTGACCCAGGATTAGATGAAATAAAATGTTGATGCTGTAGCGGGTGCAACTTTTATTTCAGCGACTAATGTGATATTCAATTTCCTGCACTTAAACCTAAAGGAAAATAATTAAAAAAATAGTCAAATAAAAATGGGGGTGGGGCTGGGGAAAAGTATATATTATAGATACGGACTGGATGTACGTTGGACCATGGCACTTGTACAAGGTTCTATTTTTTCACTGCAGTTAAACATTAATAAAATGGTGTCAAACATCCCCAACCCTCCATCTTGTGTTCTTGTTTTGTTTTGTGAAAGGGTTTTTTCCCAAAGTTCCCTTTTATTTACCTCCCCCTTCTCTGCCCTTTTTATATCCAGGTTTTGAATGGCAGTCATGATGGGCCACTTTGCAGCCTGCATTCATGTACCTGTGGTGAACAAGCTTTGTGACTGTTATAAAACGTTTTCCTTCTAACGGGTTCTGAATGCTCTTTAAAAATGGGGTTGAAAGAAAAATGAACTGGTTTCTTGCCACAGCATGTTCACAGAACTTGAGTCAGGGTCATCAGTACAGAGGTATGCACGGGTGAGTGCTTCTCGGTGCTGCTATAAGTGCATTACTGAAAATAACCATATAAATGCTTTCTTTTGGTACATGGAGCCTCGATTTTGCATACAAAAAAATGATACACACTTGCTAACTGTAGCCAATCCAATTGTATTTTCTCCCATTGTATAGCCTAGGCGAATAAATAATTCCACTGATTACAGGTTGTGGTGGAAGTTTTCAGCAGCTTGCAAAATCTCTGCCCATTTGACCAAGTAGTTGCTGCTGAAGTTGGCAGAAAAGTGTAATTTGTCAGTTGACCGGTTTGAGAAGGACAAGGCAGCCACTTCCTGCTCCTGGCATCCTATGCAACCCTTGATTTTTTTTTTTGAAGGTTAACTGTTGGAGTTGTCAACTGAGAGCATGAACAGCTCTAAAGTTAATGTGGTCTAATGCTGGTGGTCAAACTGGTTTTTTTTTATTTGTAACTTAGAATTGAACCACCCTGACTTTGTTTCAATGAAGGATTTATTCCTCCATTATATCAGAGGGAATAGAAAGTGTTGAAGACTTCAGCTGAATATTCTTTTCCTTCATGCTGTCTTTCTATGCTGTGCCATTTGTAGCCTGCAAGGAGAATAAATGGTGACACAGTGATGGAACTGAATCCTGTTTTTTTTGTCCCTATGAATTACTTCTGATTGCCTTCTGTATAATACTAGTCACAATAAAAACTTCAGCATTCAATTACACTATTTTATTACATAACACTGGTGCAGCCAGCTTTCACTGTAGTTTTTTTTATAACTGTGCATAGCTTTGCTACATGTCTATTGGCATTCAAAGCTACCCCATGTGCAAAATTATGACAAAACTGCTTTAGTAAATTGCTCCGCTGTGTTTAAAATTTCTGTGGTGGTTAATGTAGAATTGCTACCCTTATTGGCTCAATTTTAGTGGAGTGGAGGATATTTGATTCCCAGCTGTCTTTTACTGTCATCTGGGAGATGTGCAGCACCTGCACTAGGCAGGGCTCAGCTTTTAAATGGACTATACGATTGAGCAGAGTAAACCTTTCCCTGCAATCGTGTTTTGTTTTTTCCCTGACATTGGGGGGCCGCCGTAAGTCAGAAAAAAAAAACACACTAGGAATGCATAGCTATTCCTATTGGAATTTCACTTTGCAATAGCAAACTAGCTATTGCACACACCCTCTGCTGCTGTCAATCACTAGAAGAGGACCTGATGGAGAACTGCAGGTCCCCTCTGCTGATTGGTGGCAGCAGGGGGCGATGCAATAGCTAGCTTGCTATTGCAAAGTGAAATAGCCAATAGGAATCTAGCTATGCATTCCTATGGTGTTTTTTTTTTTTTTTTTAATTCTGATGGCGTACCCCAGTGGTTCTCAACCTGTGGGTCGTTATGTGATTTCTGCTGTGCTAGGTGAGTCCTCCTCAGCCCCCTTCTAGCGCAGCAGTCAGTTCTCCTGCCACATGTCACTGCAGCCGCCGCGTCATCCCTAAATTTTACCGTTAGGGGTCACCACAACTTGGCAAATGTTACCAATGGGTCCTGGCCCTAGAAAGGTTGAGAACCACTGCTCTAAGGCCAGAACAAGAAATTAAGTTACATGTAATACGGGAAAAATTAGCTACCGCTCTCACAAACCATTTAATATGGCAATATTGCATTACTAATTTCCTTTCTCGTCCATTAAGGGACATGGGGCTCAATTCACTAAACATTATTACATGAGATAATATGGTCATGTTACTTTTTTATTTGTGTGTGAAATATAACGTGCTAAGAAAATTGTCAATTTTTAAAAAAACAAATTGAATAACAAACTATAAAAATATTGCATGAAAAACAGTCTATTTACCAAAGAACTTTTTACTCAAAAAATAAATAAATAAATTAGATAATCATTACGTAGCAGTTGGTATTTGCAGTAATGGACATATGGCAGCAATGGACATATTTGAGAACACATTGCTGGAATACAAGTTAATCCAAAGGAGGATACAGAGAAGATTGCCATCCTGAAGGCAGGAATGCGCCTTTTAAGCCTTGGCTGGTTTTTATAGTTATGGGTACAAGTGACTGCATCCATGTGCCTTTTGTTCACTGGTAACTACCGTAAAAAGAGGGTAAGAAACTAAAGCCTACATTTTTACATAAATACCGTATGTTATGAAGAAATCTCATTCGGTAAACCCAAAATAAAAATCAGATTTTAGTGAACTGTACTCATTAGTTATTTGACCTCAAATCTTTGTGGTATTTATCCCTTAGTGGATTGAGCTCACAGAAGAATGCCATCCTTAAAGTATTAATCTCTCAAACCTTTTTCAATAATGAATCCAGATCAAATATACATTGCACAAATGTAAATTTTTCCCAAACACAATCATATTTCTGAATAGCTGCTTTAAGATCACAAGACTCCAATAACTGCTCATCTAGGGGGAGGGAAGTAGCTTGAATTGCTGTGTCTGGCGACGCACAGCTTACTACCACACAAGGGTGACTGCATAGCACTCTGCTTGAGAAAGGAGTCACTTTAAAACAGGAAGTCAGGACCAGTGCTCAGGGGACCAGATGATTCTAAAGAAAACTAAAACCTTTAAACCTCAAGAAGCGGCATTCATTGTAAGTGATTTCATCAGCACTTGAAATGGCTTAAAATGTTTTACTTTAATATCACTTAAAGGCAGGAATGGGACCAACTTTAAAGCATTTAGGCCTTGACTGTTTTTTCATGTTATGGATGCAACTGACTGCACTCTGTAGATTGGACTTGATGGTCTTTTTTTTTTTCAACCTGCTTATGTAACTATGCACCCATGTGCCTCTGTGTTGGGGTTCCCCCCCCCACTGGAAATGACCAAAAAAATTAGGGGAAAAAAAGCCTAAATGATGAGATAAATACTGCATGTTTTTAAAGCGATCTCATTCAGTAAATAACTCAGATTTTAGTGAACTGCATTTACCCAGTCAGGTTGTGCTCGGCCTGGCTTTTGGAGTTCTGCAACCTCACCCCGCTGAGTGATATTGCGGGGATAGCCTGAAAGTGACCTTCAGGTACTAGGTTTTGCACAGGGTGCTTCCAGACACTATTCTGGTAAAAGCTGCAAGGTACTTTCCAAGTCCAGAGCAACCAGCCGAGTTTCAGTGCTTGCCCTGTCTCTGAAGTATTTCAGGGTAGGCCAGTGGGAGCTACCTCCCTCCATTGGTTGCTGGGCACCAGTTTTTGCTGTGGGAGAGGTTAGCGCTGTGGGACCAAACCCTGATGTCCACAGGGTAGAGTGTAAAGTGTGCTCCCCGCTCTTTCCAGCCATACAGTGTAGAGGCAGCTTCATGCTGCTGCTTTTGCTTACAAAGAGAAACATCACTCCTTTTCTGCTGCACACCAACCATAACTTTGCTGTCCAGCTACTAGCTGTCTGGGTTTCATGAATACTTGAGGCCCTGCCCTTTTTAGAGCATTTATGTTGCCTTACTGCACCGTGGCTGCAAATATGTCTGACTAGACACTAACATTCAACATCCTATTCCTTGTGAATGTCCAAAGTCTGTAATCTGCAAATATAGGCTACTATTGTGTTTCCCCGAAAATAAGACACTGTCTTATATATATTTTTTTTTTTTTTGGCTCAAAAAGCACACTAGGTCTTTATTTTTGGGGTAGGTCTTATATTTTTTATG